ATTGTAGAGTTAGTTAATACATTTTCAGAGGGATTGAATGAGGCGCGCCAGAATGTAGAAGTAGAGATTGTAAACGTGTTGCGTAGACTAGGAGTAGAAAGTAGTTCAGACGACGCCGTAACCGTTACATTGGACGGCACAGCCTCTAAGACCGATTCGCCTCAAGCGGATGAGGTTCCAGAGTTGCCATTGTGAATAAAGAGGCCCAAGGCTCTTTCCTTGAGGGGTTTTTTTGTCAATTGGCTTGTCTTGATTGTAAATTTGTATCCACTGTGTCTGTGTGCTGATGTGTGATCCAGACATTGGGCACGGTGTGTTCTTGTTTGTCGAAGTTACCACATCATGGGTTGTGAGTATTCGGCACGAATGTCCTGAGTGGTCGAGGCTTCTTGGGATTTAAGCAAATTCGGGTCTGAGTATTCGGGTCAGAGGGTTGAGATGTATGCAATGCTGGGAAGTTTTCCCCTTGAAATATAAGTGTGGAATTGCAAGCGATTCCTACAGGCGTTGTTTGGAAAAGTTTCAGGCTGTGAGTGTGGTTATGCACTACTCCGCGGGTCTTCGGCTCTAGCTGGGTAGTGTCTTCTGGGAGTGGCATTGGCCTAAGAAGTGAAACTCTTTAATAGAATGCTATTTGTGACAAATCGTGACTTTTGTGGTTGTTTCTTTCCTCGTGGGATCAGATATGTATCATTATGCTCCATTTTGGTATTTGTCTGTCATTACATGATGTCACACAATTACTTAGGTAAGAGAATATAATAACATGTGTCTTTGCTTATTATTTTGATATATTTGTTAAATTGCAAATGATTCATATTTTTTGATGATTAAGTAATTTCATCTTGACAAAGTTTGATTTAGTTTTGAGATATTAAGAAATGATAAGGATATAGAGACATATTAAAAATCTCTTTATATCCTTATATTTTATGATACATAAAGCTTGATTCTAGTAAAATTTATGAAAAAATTTTAAGTATGTTTTAAAAATAATGATGAATGTTTGTTGTATTGATTGCAATCAATATTGAATTTTTTGATATATTACTATGATGATGATTTTAGATGTATTGTTTTAAAATTCTACTTCACTATAGATATTATGGATGTAATTGTATCATATTTTTCAATTTTTAATATTTGAATCAAATTTAATCAATTAATTTTAAAAATATTATTATAAAACATAATCATAAGTTGAATAAAAAATTTTATTTTTGATAAATTTATATTATGATTAAATAGTGTGTTAGCGATATTTTATGTTAGCAGGACCCTAAATTTCAAAACCGTCGGTGACGATTTTGGTACTATACTTAATGCTTTGATGACTATGAGATATATGCGTCTAGAATTGCAGTTACTAGTCGACAACTTATCTTTCAATAATACTTGTGAATTTTGTAGACATCGGTTTTTGAGATTCTACTTGCAATTGTGTTATTGAGATGATGACAATTAGCTCTAATTCACTAAATGCACAAATGATCAAGAAGAAACCAAAGAAAAAATTGCCAAATAAGATCGATCGTATATGTTTGTTGCAAAAAATCCGTGCTGCTATTTGGAAAAAGTTTGATATTGTGCAACAACATGGTAAGGATTGCAAGAACGCAAGGTGCTTCAATTGCAAAAAAAATATACACATCCAAGAAAATCATAGGTTTCAACATCGTGAGTAATCACAAGTATCCTAAGTTTCAAAGATTAGAGAGTGGAGCTATGAAATTATTTGTAACAAGTATCATTTCACTACACATGATAAGAAGATGATGACATTTGCGCCTACCAACTTTTGCGCAATTGACCTTCAATCATTTGAATCAATAGCCTGATATTGTTTGAAAAGGCTTGTTCAAACTACTTTGCACATTAGTGTTGCAAGCAAATAAGCAAATCATGATTGATGATCTATTGTATAAACCAGTTATCACCAAATGCAATATAGCGGTTGGCGCGATAAAATGCCTTGCTTTAAAAACAAAGTGTTTTAAAGAACACATTGATACACATGTATATATGGCATGCACTTATGAACTGTAGATTAATAGTACCAAGAAAGTAGCTTACATATTTGTGATGACGTATTACATCAATGAAGTATTTGCTTTTTTTTATTAAAAATTGCATGTGAAGTTTTCTCTAGATGAGAACCACGCAACTATTATGATCTTGGAAAAATTCAAGCAATCTCTTAACATCTTTGGTATTAACGATTTGATGTTTGATAAAATTAGGTTTATGGCGGATTGTGGTTTAAACATCATTGCCGAAGACGTGGCGATTCTATACACGCCACGTCTATACACATGTTGAGAATCGCCACGGCCATGACGAGAATTCAACATGGCAGTTCTATACATTTTCATTGACACTCAAGAGATTTTCCTCATATTTTAAAAGTCAAAATTTTAATCAAAGTTGTCAAAGACGTTGAAACAAGAGTATCCAATCATATAGAATTTGTTATATTATTGCTTGTTTAGTGTTTTTGAAATGCTAAATGAGCTGAATGATAAACTGAAAAATACCTGAAAAATACAAAAATTTGCCTCACTCTTAGAGATTTTTTTGAAAACTTATTAGCATCATTTTAGAAATCAACTTTGGATATTGAACAATTCAAAGAACATACATTGCACAAGATTGTATTTTGGCGATTTCAACTATTGAAGCACCTAAATATTTACTATGTGATTGATGACGATGGTGTCGTCATGATGAACAAGAATTTCTCTTCAATCATAACTTGTGTCTCTTGACACCCTTAGTGCAAAAAAAAAATGGAGCTCGACGTGCTTCATGTCGTAACAACAGGAAAGGTTTTGGTAAATTTGAATCACAAGAAAGATGATGCATTGGCTCCTTCACAAAAGAATGTTTGTACTGATGATACAAGGTCTATGTCCGATGAGTTTGAAGTAATTTATGGCAATAGGGCTGAAATCTTGATTTTTAGCAACCTCGACGCTCGTATTGAACTTGAATTCAACATGTATAAGCAAGATCATTGATCTAAAAAAAAGTATCATGGTAGCAGTAAGCTCAGAATTTTAGTGAATTGAGATATTAATTCTAAATTCAGTATGCTCTTGTGATGAAAACAGAAAGTAAGCTTCAAAATACTCATCATTTTGTGATTGATGCGTTCAATTTTGTGCATCATCGCTGCCAACTTCAAATTGGAATCAAAATTCTTGTATGCATGAGAGTCGGTAACCAATAAACGCTTCTCTATAAAACCAGCAACAATAATTTATCACGTTTTGTTTATTAGATCTAACAAAACTTGGTGTAGACGGTTAATACACATTACACAATTTTTTAACACGTGTACGTAATATGAATAGCTTGAGGTGGGCATGGATGAACATAGGTTGCTGCTGATGATTATGATTTGATATGAGTACAAATTTCAGTTGAAATGTTGACAAATGCTTTGTAGTAACCTCAAAACTTCTAAAAATATACTTTTCTTCATTAATTGTATTTCATTGTTCATCTTTTGCGTAGTCTTTGTCTCAATTTGGGATTTTGAACTTTTGAAAGTTGTAAAAAGCCTGGGACTTGTGTGTAATGAATTAAATTCACATAATCATCAATGATCATACATAGTTAAATTTGGAGAGAGTTGTTAGAAGGTAAACTCACACGTCATTGTGTACATATTCAGTTTAATCTCATGCAATTGTAAGTTTTAATACTAAAGTCTTGATTATGAGGTTTGTTTGGATTATGAAGCTTTTTGATAGCAACTTTGATCTAGATAAATTCTTCTTACTTGCAATTTGATCATTTTTCATTCATGTAAATAAGATCTAAAATTATATTTCTAACATATTTATCAACATATATATCATTCAAGGTGGATTTCATTGCAAATTGTTCATTGGCAAAATTAAGATTTTAATCAATTTAATCTTAAATTTTCTTAAATGTTCCATAACTTTAAAGATGAATTGTGTTATCAATATTTTTTGATCACAGTATCTCTAAATTGCTTTGAAATGTATTAACGTTTTTGTAAATAAGCCATGTGATATAAAAAAGATACAATTATTTGATAACAATCCTGGGGAAAGCAAAACATTTTGTAGAATCCAACATAATTCATTTTACTTGATGGGAACATCCGAACGTTTCTTCAATCCACCGTCATCATTTATCCAATATGAGTTATTTTAATCCAATAGTTCACTACTATAGTGCTGAGAACGTACTGCCATTATTGAGCCAAGTTACTCTCAAAGGTATTTTGAATCATAAGATTGAAACATTATCAGTAGAACTTACAAATGATTGTTGTGATGAAATGCAATTCAAAATGACCAACCAAGTAATAACATTGGTCATGCACACCTTGACATTGATAAATTAAAGCTAAGTTTGCACTCTTTGTCTCCCCTTGACGTTGAAGGAGCTCGTAGTAGTTGCAGCTATCAAAGTTGTGAGCTTGTAGCTTAATCCGCAGAGTGTGTTTTGCGAGTTCTTTGATTCCCAACAAATCTCATTTTTGGATGTGTTGTTGATGCCCGTTAAAGTTTTGTATGTCATTCAAGAGAGTTTGTGCGCATTGTAGGAACTTAGTTACACGGTTGCCCAGTTCTCTTTTTGCCTACTAGTTACAAGCCGCATTGTAGGGAGTATATGCACAGTAGCATATACTACTTACAATGGGTAGTATCTATCCGATAGCTCGTAACGGAACTTGAATGTAGATGTGCATCAAGGTTCCCATCGGATAAAATGAATCATGTTTCAACAAGTGTTTTGAGTTTCTTTGAAATAATTTTCTCCATTTAAAATATTTTTATTTCACAAATTTATTATATGATCATACTCTGGCACTAAATTCTACGTAAATATTAGCATAGAACCTCTAATTTGTAATTTCATGAATTAAGATTATGTGATTTATAAATCCATGGTAATAACTGTGCCATCCAATGATGGTTACTATAATTGTTTGACCAAAGGATGCAAAGAAGTCTCTAGGGTAGTTAGTTGTGTTACTAGAAGATTGTGAAGTGAAGCATATGGACAGAATGAGCATGGTTGGAGTTCAACAGAAAGAACCAATTGTGGAGATGGTAGAGTAGACCTTGAAGGATCATGAGCTTCGATTCTACTTTCATTGGTTCTGCGAAGGTGAGTTGTGGAGATCAATATCCATAAACAACAAGAATTCACCTTATGATGTCTTGTCCATACTGTTGAAATTCGGATGATTTCAATAAAAGTTATCATGATATTCATATCATGACTTAAAAGAGTGTTTAGACCTGTGTTCATAACCTGGTCTCATAGCACCACCAACACCGGAGTGGGACGAGAGAGAGAGAGCTTTCTTCAATTGAGTCATTTGTGAAAATGATGGCTCAGTTGGGTAATTCTGTATGGCGATGCTCTTCTGCGATCTGCAAGCCTTTAACAAAGCTCATCAAGCTTCTGGAGGAGGACCCTTCGGGACTGACAGCTTTGGCCGCTGCGACTTTCATATTTTGGGCATTCTTCCTTATGAGATTGCCCTCTTCTGACGACAACACTAATCGTATTGCCTTTTCTACGTCATGTCTATCCACTCTCAACGGCAGCCCTGTCCTAACGTCTTGACTCGGAAGCATCACCCCCAACTTTGCTCCGTCTGCCGCAAATCTGAAATGAAGTCAAAAACCTGAAGTTAATATAGATACAGCCCAGAGCCAGCCATGTATGAATCAGGAGACAAGTCAGAAATTTACGCATAGCACAATGATCTGCAGCGATCATAGACGAAAAAAGTAGGACTAACTAAAAGACAGCTTAGAGAATCGGTGGACGACTCTGCATATTCTGTGCACCCACGATCTACAGAGTTCCGCAACAGAGACAAATTGCCTTCGGAGGGCAAAATTGGGAGTTCGAGCTTACTTGATATTGACAGGCTGATCGGCATAAGTGGCCCATGCTATGAACGGAACTCCTCTACAGATAGTTTCTAGAGTGGAATTCCAACCTCCTTGCATCAGGAACGCTCCAGTCGAACGATGTTCTAATATTTGTAGCTGTGGAGCCCAGCCTCTAGTGATAAGCCCCCGGCCTTTGACTCGCTCCTCAAACCCATAAGGCAGAACCTGCTCCGCCTCCTCTGCGGAGAGTCCTGGCGGCGGTCTCAACACCCACAAAAATCTGGCTTCGCTTCCCTCGAGTCCCAGTGCCAACTCGTGCACCATTTCTGTGGAAAACATGTTGAATCCCGTGGTCCCAAAGTTAACATACACCACCGAAGTCGGTGGCTGCTCATCCAGCCATTTAAGACATTCGTCCCCGACGTCGTTGAAGTTTTCATTAGAGTGGCCTTTGAAGTTCTTGGTCGGTTGTACCGGCGATGACAGTGGACCTACTGGGATCATGTTAACTCCCTGTCAACACGTCCATCATGTCAGCGACAACTTCCACATTCTCAGAATTTTTCCTTTTTGTTGGTTATGAAGGAGAAAGATTTTATGCGAGTGCTCGCTGCTGGACACGAAGGGTTTAGGGTTTAGACTTGTTTCACTCGGAGTGACTTCATGAGTACAATAACCTTCTGAATTTCAAAACGTCTAACTAGTTCCACCCGCGTACCATTCTCTGAAGCTCAGCAATTGTCTCATGTTCCAGTTCCGAAAACGTATTCTCCAAGATACCTGCTGCTCCGTTTATAGAATTTATGACAAATTTCGGACCTTCGACCTTTCGTTTGGTGGCGAAGAAGGTACTGACGAGGGGACCCGGGATGATGTTTGGCCAGTGCAGTATCTTTGGCCTCTCCATATCTTCTTTAGTTTTTGGATGATGAAGTATCAACAAAACCGCAAACGCCGACATTGCGCACAGAATGTATCGAGGAATTTGCAGTCTCGCAGCTGCTTGCTGCGTAGTTAATCCACAAAGCCCACATCGATCTCATGAGCAAGTAGTCTACATCAATGCAAAACTTTCATATCCCGTTCAAGCAAACATAGACTTCGACAGTTTTGCGAAGAGAATTGAATCGAACTGACCACCGTCCACTGAAGAAGGAGATCGGATATGAGGCAATGATACTGAGCTTTCCCTTCTATGCCGCCGCCCGCTCCTAGCAACTCTTTGTCGAAGTACTCGTTCACAACCCGTCCAAGGGCTTCGCCGTTCGCAAGCGGGTTCATTGGAACAGGAGGTCCCTTCATTGGAGGCAAAGCAAGAAGGTGCACTCCGTCCCTCAATCCATCTGTGGGCAACGCCTCCAACAAGTTTTTGTATAAGAAAATTGTGCAAGTGACTCCTTCACAAGCTGCCAGTTTGTCTGCCAAATGCATCATAGGAGCGATGTGAGGTAGGGATTGATGGGGTATCATCATGAAGTGAACCATCTTTACTCGATGCGGTGGAACGTAAGCGAAATCCTTTGTCAAGATCTTGGCAACTATCAAATCTTTCTGATCTCTAATTCTGAACTCTGAGTCACTGAAAACTTCGATCACTGTATTGCGGAAGTTCGGAGAGGGACCTGGAAAGGAACTGGTGAGCAGAGAATGAGCATCAACGATAATTGTTTCATAGGACCACAAGTACATCACGACGGGTGGAAGAGTTAATATCAACGATTAAAGTATTGGAAAGAAATAACCTCACGGACTCGACCGCATTATGCAATTTATACGACGGTCTATGTTTCCGTGACTCGAATGTCGATTATTGTACATGCATGATTGTATCACTGACAATACAGTCAGAAGTTCAGTCAAAAGTCTAAACCAGTCACGAGTAATGCTTCTAAGACACGTACTTGTGTCAAAATCATGAGCACGTGCTTCGGACTGCTGTTACCTCCAAGGGTTTGAGCACTACTGTCAGTACTATTTTCTGCTAAAAACACTGCTACAGCTAGGGAGAATCTCAACTTGTTCAAAGGTCTACATGAGGTGATATTATTTTTTATTTTGTTCGACAGACAAGATTACAGTTTGTTAAAAGAAATAGGTTTAACCACTAATACACTCGGTTAGAAACAAATATGATGATTCTGAATACCGTATGTGACATATTTTAATAGAGTATAATTACTTTGTTTATTTTCACTAAAATGAGAACTTAATCACTTGAGGTTTTTAATTATGAGAATAGTAAATCAATTGACTATTTATATCTCAAGATTTAATGTACTATGTAGTTATATACACTAACTCTCAGATGTTTATTGTTAAGAGTAAATTAATTTAAACTACCTTAACTTAATTGGACTAAGTTAACATATTACTATATTTAATAATTGGCTGTAATTCTCACCTAAATAAATCAACGGATTTCCCGTGGATGAAACACCTTGTTGTGTCAACTCTTGGTGCGCATGTATCTCTTTGTGTTTACAATTAACGAATGGTGTCTACTATTGATGTTGGTGTATGTCTATGTGTTTAGGATTGACGATTGGCACTCTGTGCAACACCTAACAATCGGATAAGACAAAGTAGCTTCCATTTCCACGCCATGACTGTCAATAACTCTTAATATATACAGTATTACCTTACTAGACACTATTCTGAATTTTTGTGTTTGGTTGCACGGGATTCCAGTTTGCCTGAAATCCCTTATATGCGATTACGGTTTTTGGTGGAGGCGGTGTTGTTGAAGCACTAAATGAACTTCCATCGCTTGTAAAGAAATATATCAAAGATTACGGTGTTGCATGCGACCTCTCTGGATTCCCTTATATGCGCACGAGGTGGTGTTGTTGAAGCACTAATTGTACTTTCCATCGCCTGAAAAGGAAATTGATCAGAAAAATCCAAATGGAAACATTGTCCTTTCTGAGACTTCCGAATGATAAGAAAAAAATCGAAATGTTATTTCTTAATATTTCAGAATATAAATGATGTTATACATGTTTTTATGTTACATAAATGTTCACCCTCGTAATTGTTCTGGTTGAGGATTTATTCTTCTAGGGTTTTACATGGCCTGGCATGGTGAGGTCTCTCATGAATTTTGATATTTAATGAGAGTGAAATGAAGAGTCCAAATCAAGTCATAAATAAAGTAGCACATTAGTCACTCCGGTGATTTCCTGGCTTTAGTCCTCTAGTTTCGGAACTTGCTAGTAGACTCTCATGGCCAACTTGGACTAGAGCGAGGTATTTACTTGATGAACCCAATACGAACCTGAAGTGTTTTGGGATACTTTAAGTTTCGTTTTGCCCCATGGGATCACTCCTAATGTACACATCATGCATGTTCTAGTATCAACAAACGTTGCAGGTAGAGAAACTGTGACAGCAAGATTGTCTCGTTCTTATTGAATCTCTCAAATCTCCACTCAGCTCCAACTCCACCCGGACATTTCTTCTTCCGAGAATTCCCAATTGTACCAAAATCTGTCAAATTACTTGCCACTTGAATTCACAACTCCTCCTCTTACTTCACTGTGAATTTACTCCACAGATTCCACTGTTGCTCACAGATTCCATACATCTTCGCTTGCTCAACGAATTTAATTTTCGATAGCTCAAAAATCCAAAACCTCTCTGTGACAATGTTTGTTTGTCACAGTTCATGGTTATGAGATTTGCGATCGTAAAGGTTTACTAAAGCTCGTTTATTATGCGAGCTTTAGTGTATAGAATACCTTTCAGAAATTAGCGACGGTGTACCATTGGTGGGATCCATGGGGTAAAATTAAACTTGATAGTACCATAAGCAATTTAGGTTCAGATGTTATACCATCAAGTAAATACAACATAGCTTCCAAATCAAATTATAAAAAAAGAGCACACTAGTAACTCCAATGATCTTCTTGGCTTTAGTTTTCTAGTTTCGGAACTTGCTAGGAGCGTCTCATGGCCAACCTGGACTAGAGATTACAACTGAATCTCATGGAACATGGCGGAGACTTTGTTTGGTTTGGAGCCCATAGGATTAGTGATTATACGTCCAATGTGAATGAATATATAGTATAGTTCTTACGCATGACCCAAAAGAAGAAAAGATGCTTCAATCAATATTAAGCATTGGCAAATCACGAAATGTGTGCCTACTTTCACTTCTTTTTAGTTGTTGGATTCTTGGAATATATGGTACTTTTTACTTCAACATTTGTGTGTTTTTTCCAAACTGGTTTTAATCAGTTGTACTCAACCGATGCTTGTCGAAACTCAGGAACTATTGTGTGAGTAAGTGAAGTGAAGTAAGGAGGTAGAAAATTGCACGGTCATCGAAAACCCAAAGTCAAAGTGCCAAGCGTCGCAAGGTCCTGGCATCGAATAGTTTCCAGTATTCCTTTGTGACATAGGTACGGGACAAAGTAATAGTCAAGACAGTCAACGATTCTTGAATACCTCACACCTCCAAAACCTACTTACTTACTCAAAACAATGTGTTGAATTGGTCGGTGCTAAGGTGCATTGTATATGTTATTTATCGCTTTGTCAATGCAACATCCAGTATATTGGTGCTGTAATTACTCCGAGAAACATCGCAGGTAGCTCTTTACCGTAGCCCAAATTTGGTCGAAATATATAAACGGCTCGCGACAAGCAAAAAAATATTCTAAACTCTAGTGAGAGAGATTTGAACCCGTGTGCTCATTATGATCCCGCTGTTCTACCCAACTGAAACCACATGCTGATTTTGTTCGCGCTTCTATGATAATCTTCCGCTACCTAGTTGTTGGGTAAAAATTTGTTTCACGCCCTGTGCTTTTATTGATCTAGTCAAGGATGCACAGACCGAAGTAAAAACGGCCATCACGAAGGCTTCAATGCAGGTCTTACATGCATTTTTGCCTGCGGGTTGGGCACTACAGTCGAGAGCTACAGTTGAAATAAATATATGAAGACCATGGGGAGAGAGAGACCAACGATAGTTTTGGGAGAAGAGCTTGAACTTGCCGGAAGCAGTGTCAAACAAGAGACGGCCGTTTCAAAGAACAAATCGAAGTAAAAAAAATGAAAACTGCTTGTTTTAATAAGTAGTGTATAAAAAATGAAAATTGATACAACCAAAAAATTGGAGAAAAAATTGCTTATGGTACCCATCAAAACGCTGATCGCTTGATGGATCCAATTCGTTCCATTTTACCCTATGGACCCCTCCAACGTGTCACCATTAGTTATGTTCTTGTAATTGCTTTGTTTTCACTTCAATGAAAAAAATAAACCCTTCCAAATTTAAGTTAGTTAGATTTCCCATGGCTCCCTATCTTCCTCGTGCAAGAGCCCAATTTCTCACGTTCCAGAATGATTTTACAATTATAATGTATGGGCATAATCTACTTATTACTTACTTTTTTTTCTAAAACTCTTGGCCGAAGTCACGCAAGTTGCTTATTTTGGTCCGTGAAGTGCCTGCGGGGAGAAAATCACTTTTCAACAAACAGCCACATTGCTTTTCCTAGCCCGATTGAAAGCAATAACAAGAACTCGCAGTAGAACATCGGTGTCAGTGGACTGAACTGCCGTTGGAAGGAACCCATCGAGTAAATTAGAACATATTGGGTCCCATCAAGCAGTCAGCGTTCTGATGGGGTCCCATCAAGCAAATTTTTCAAAAAATGAATGAAAAGACAAGAGAATGGAAGGAAATCTTTGCACATACACCGAGAGCAGTTGTACTAAAGCAAGAGCACTATATACTCAAAATAGTATAATGATGAAAGCTTCCATTTGCTTTTTATTGTTCTTTGGCAATATCATTCTACTTGGGATTGTAAGTTGGATTTCCACTTAGAGATCAACCTTACTCAATGGCCCAACCTTGATTTCTTGCATAAAGTGATGTTTCAAGTTATAAATTTACTACAAAAATTTAAAAACTATAAAAAGTCATGCTTGACGCTATAAATTTTAGCTATAATCATGACTTATTACAATAAGTTTAAAAATTTTAAAACATCCATGTTTCAAGTTATATATTTTGGCTAGAATTATAAATTATTACAATAAGATAACAAAAAAAATGTGTTCTACAATGCAGATATTTTCAGACTTAAAGAAAATAATTATTGTAATTTTTTGAGATAGACTTCATCATGAAACATATTATTATATTAACATTATGCATTTTAATAATATTATCTTATTTTTATTGAGATTAATTCTAGTTAAGAAGTAACCTCATGTGTAACTATTTAAAGCTCAGATTGGTCGCATATGTTGGATATATGTATACCTCATGCTTTTGCGTTGCACACATTGTTGTGCTTTCACCTTAGCAGTATTGTCTCTTGCATGTATTCCTCCGTGGACGTAGCCTTTAAGGATGAATCACGTTATACGCTGGTGTCTTTCGTGTTGATGGTTTGATTGTTAGCAAGAGCGTGTCACTGAGTTTTTTTGTATCACGTTTATAATTGATATTAGACTAGATTTTGATTTGGCTTGTGAGTTTTTTCTCAGTGACAGGTTTTGTCGGTTTCGAATTTTTGACAGTGACGGTTTTTTGATAGAAGTCAGATTCTGTTGACATTCTTTGTTTTTGACAGTGAAATCTCTTTGAAGATTGCTAAACAGAGCTGTGGTTTTTTTTTCCAAGCTATGATTTATGATAGATCATTTTTGTCGGTGACTATTTTGTCAATGTGTGACATTGATAGTTTTTTTGAAGTTTGTGACAGTTTTTGAAAATGAAGCAAACTTTGAAAGCAACGAGCACCTGCAGATTCGCTCGTTCCTATTTTGTTTGCGGTTGAATTCTGTTGGAAGCGTAAGAAAGCAGCG